GCTGCACATAGAGCAGCGAGACGCAGAGATTGCCACTTTATTAGGAATAATTCACTTTAGCACTGAAGCAGCAGCAGCAGGCTCTTGCAGAGACCCGCTAAATGCTGTCACTCGTGCTGCAGTCGAGGCAGCAGTTAGGGGCCCCCCCCGCCACCGCAGCAGCAGCTTGGGGGGCCCCCTGGGGGGCCCTCCAGGGGACACCGCGGGGGCCTCGCAGCTGCTCCCAGGGGGGCCCCCAGGGGGCCCCCAGGGGCAGGGGGCCCCCCAGGGGGGCCCCCAGGGGAGCCCCCAGGGGGCCTCCGAGGGGACCCCCTGGCTAACTGGGCCTGAAGCCACAGCACTTTTAAAGGAAAGGGGAAAGGCCCTTGAAGTGCTGCGGCGAAGTGCCAGGAAATGTGAATTTGTAGAAGCAGATTGTTTGCTGCTGCAGCAGCTGTTTGCTGCTGCTGAGGGGTACCGGGCAGCAGCAGCAGCAGCAAAAGAAAGAATTGCTGCAGCGCGGGCGCAGCTGGAGAAGCTGAAGATCCGGCAGCACCTGCAGGGTGTACGTACACCCGAAGCTGCAGCAGACGAAAGCCCCCAAGAGGCGCTGCTGCTGCAGCAAGTGGAAAACGACAGAGATGAATATATTTCATTGATTGAAAAACTAAATAAAACCAAAAGAGAAATGAAAAGAGTCCACATCACCCTCGAGCGCAGCAGGAAGCAGCTGCAGCAGGACTTCCAGAGGTGGTTCAACACAATCGCCAACGCAAACAGCAGCAGCAGCAGCTGCAGCAGCAGCAGCAGCAGCGGCGGCACGGTGGCGCTTTTGCCCCTATTCCCTTCCATAGGAGACAGCAGCACAAATGCCGTTTCTTCCCCCACGGCAGAAACTCTAAAGAAGCAGAAAGAAACAGCAGCAGCAGCAGCAGCAGCAGCAGCAGCAGCACAAGGGGCCCCAAGCTTCGTGGACTGGCCTCCCTTGGGGGCCCCCTTCTTCCCTTTTGTGAACCCTTTTAATGGAATAAGTGACTTCAAAAGAGAAAATGAAACAGAGAACAATTCAAAGAATAATGAAACACTTCAGCAGCAGCCAGAAAGCCAAGCTGGGGGCCCCCTGGGGACCCCCAGTACCCTGGGGCCCCCCAGTACCCTGGAGGCCCCCAGCACCACGGGGGCCCCCAGTGCCCTGGAGCCCCCCAGTACCCAGGACGCCCCCAGTAACCTGGGGGCCCCCAGTACCCTGGCCCCCAGTACCCTGGATGCCCCCAGTACCCTGGGGGCCCCCAGCACTCTGGGGGCCCCCAGTACCCTGGGGGCCCCCAGTACCCTGGAGGCCTCTGGGGCCTCAAAGGCCTCATTTACCCTTCAGGATTTGCCCTCTTTGGGGGCCTTGGGGCCCCCTCTCTCAGACCTAGAGGACCCAAAGAAACTAGGGGCCTTGGGGGCCCTGGGGGCCCCTGGGGCCTCCAGGGTACCTGAGACCCTCGATATTCCAGGGGCCCCTAGAGGGGCCCCTGGAGGGGCCCCTGGGGCCCCAGAACCCCCTGGGGCCCCTGG